TGGGCAGGGCGGTCCAGGGCAGTGCAGGCGCGGGGTGGGGCGGGAATCGGAACACGGCAGAGGTGCCACCCACCTTCTTGTGGGTCTGGGTTCAATGCCCAGGTGTCCCCAAATGTTATGACCCATGTTACATACACAACATACACACATATGTCCGTGAACACATGAGCACACAGGCGGAGGGCACACACACAAACAAACACAAAGGACGGAGGGAAGGGCAAGGGAGAGCAGGGGACAGCAGAGGACAAGGCACTGAAGGGCAGAAGGGAGGGCAGATGGGAGGGGAAGGGAGGATGACTTTGGGAGGGCGGAATAAGAGTGAGAAAAGGTATTGTGGAGGGTCGGGGGTGGAGGGAGAGAGGGATGGTGCGCCACGCATTTCTCCCTTCCTTCACACCCCGGAGGACAAAGCAGCCACACGGCTCTATGGGGCCGGAGGCTTCAGTGTTATTAGCATATGCATCATTCGCGCCCACACGAATCCCCCAGGGTCCCTGTCGTATTTAGCCGGTGGCTCCCCCGTTCGTTTGACTGGACATTCATAGGAGAGTCACACACACAACCTGCAGAGGCACACAAACGCGCGGCACACTAAAACCCGCCATCAAGCCTGTAATTTATTTAACTTCTGGAGAGACACCCCCAGAGTCCCGGATGGGCAGTGGCAGGTGTTGTGTCGTGTGCGGGGTTTTTGATTGTTAGGATGTTGTGCACAACACATGGGTGAGGCGCTCTTGCTGTGTTGTTTCGCCTCACCCCACAGCCTTCACCACACAGCCTCTGGGGGTCAGTTGTTTTTTCAAACACGCCACGTGACGCCACCACACGCCGCCCTGATTCATTTGGAGGATACACTATCCGAATGTGTCAGAATGTCTCGATGACGCCGGGGTTAAGGGGGATGCATTTGCAATACGTCCAAAACATGATACACGTCGGATGCATGCAATGTGGTATAGGATGTGGGGTACGTTTAGACTCTTTTTATAGGACAGAGGGCGCAGAGTCGTCCAGCTGTGGAGGGCTGGAGAGAGGTGCCGTGGGGGACTCTTTTTAACATCTTTTACACAAAAGCTATTGTGGAGGAACGCGCATTTTTGTGGGTAGGAATGCATGTGTTTTGTCTTCTCCCACTTGTGGTGGTGTAAGTTGTTTTGAGCCACACCACCCTGTGGCGCGCAAGTGAGATTTTGTGCACACGCAGCTGTATATTCGTTGCCGACCCGTGGGTTTCTCTCTGCCCCGACGCTCCCTGTGGCGCCCTGCTTCCCGTATGCTAGTTTTAGCACGTGTGGAACAACTTGCAGAACGATAGGCGGGGCACTCGTACGATCACCAACCGGGTAAAGCGACCATTCAACGGGTAAAACGGGTAAAGCGACCTTTTGACGCCTAGCTGCCTCTCAATCCCGGGGATGCTGTCCGCGACCCTTGCGAGTGAGATGGTTATCCCATATGAAGAAAAAGTACAGTTTGTATTCGTTTTCTTGCCTAACTGTTGCACGTGCCGGTTCAGTTCATCAAGGGTACCTGGTTGAGCCTTTGGGCGTTTGTTAGCCCGTCCATCGCCGCTGTCTGACATCGCTCTTTGCGGTGAGCGCCGGCTTTGGAGGAATAACTCTAATACTAAAAGTCTAACTAAATGTTTGAAGGCATGCGGCGCGAGGACTGACTGGCACGAGCATAACATGCCCCTCGAAGATATGCAATATATATTGTAACGGCTGCGCATGGAATTATTTGCATAGCCATGTTGCATGATGATAATTGTTTTGGGGGGTTCAAATCCTCAAATGTGTCAAATGCCAAGCCCGAGGAAATCCTTGCATGACCATTATATTGCTTATTGTTTTGGGGGTCAAATCCTCAAATCCCGATGGGATTTGACCCGGATTTGATTGGGAATTCATGAGGTCAAATTCCGGGATTCCGGCCCCGTGAGGCCTGTGCGTCATTTGCACATTGCTGGACTGAGCCCCAAAACTTGACCTTTCTTTAACTTCGGTTAACCATAAAACCTGCCTCGGCATACAGCGTGTAGCCCTCCTTCAGATCTTGTTGTGTTACATCACTCTCGCACCCAACATCGCAACGCACGGACGAGCAGTAGTCAGCAAAAAGAAGGCAGAATGGTCAGCAGAAAGGAGGCGGCTGCGGCTTTCACCGCTGCCGCGAAGGCGCTGGACGTGCGCGGGAAGGAGCTCGGCGACTTGTGCTTCGCCCTGTCCAAACTATCGGTGGAGGAGCTCGAGGTGTTTCCGATAGACGGTGACAACGAGGCAATTGTTGAGTTCATGAGGTCCGTGAAAGGTAATAGTGGTGCAGGTTCAAATCTGGAAAGGAGTTCACTCACACGCACCCAGCAACCCCGCACCAAGATCTCATCTCGACGTGTCCCCTCGATTGCTCTCATGTCCTGCAGCCTCGGCGGCTGGCCTCGGCATGGGGAGCGCGGCTGGAGCTGGTGAGTTGGTTGTGCTAGACCTGACCTAAGACTCTGGCTCTAGTGCTCCGCAGCGGTGTAGTATGTACGTGAGCAATCGTGAAGAGCGTGGTACAGTACGCTGCCTGTCGCAGGAATCTACCTAAAAGGGGGGTTGCATTGGAAGCATGTGTGTGCATGCGGGCTTGTGTGCGTGTGGGCCTGTGTATGCAACTTCAGTTCACATACTCAGTCTGTGGCGGCTCAGCCTATTTTCCAGCTGTATCGGCGCTCCACGGCATCATCCCGCTGAGTGGGTTCATGACATACTTAATTTCTGACATAGTTCGTGGGGCCAGTAGCCCCCAGCTCCCAGACCATGCCTCCATTCCCTCTCTCCCCTAGAACTCCATCATGCGACGAGGGAACAGCTGCACAGTGACTGAGCCAGTGACTAACGACCTTTCAGAGTCCGCATGATTGGGCTCGAGGCTTGTCGCACATGAATGCACTGCATCTGTATTGACAGTCCATGCACCTCCTCTATGCTTGTGTTGTAGGTGGCACTGGCCCGCCTCGCACTGGCCCAGGCGGCATTGGCGCGAGCGGCTCTGCTTCCCAAGTCGAAAGTGAGATTGGGGCTGGAAACTGGAAAGGCTTGGTGTTATGCGCACCCATCTCCAAGTTCTAGGACCTAGCACCTTGAACCCGGGTGACTTGCATGTGGCTGCAGCGTGCCCGGCAGAAGAAGAGCTGAGAGTATGATAGCATGAGCAATTCACAATGGGTTCAACGGTGTCAAATTTGGCAGTGCCAGTGATGGGAGCCAAGTGTTCCACAAGCAGAACAAGTTGGCAAGTGAAGGGCGCATTTATATCATCCTCCTGATGAGGAGGAGGTTCCCATGGCCTGGGCGGGTCTGGACACGGCGCCGGGGGCAGCGCCGTCGCCGACCGTACGACAGGTGCCGGCGCCAGCGCCAGCGGAGGCCAGCATTGGACACAAGGTGGTTATTGTGATTTGTCATGGGCACGTAGTGGCAGGAGTTGATGCGCTTCGCAGGACACACACCCTTAATCGAAATGCAGCTTGTGATGTGTGTGTGTGTGTTGATCTGCAGGCATGTCCATAAGCAAGGTCAGCGCGCGCCACTTGCAGCGCATCTCGAGTGCCTTGGGGATGAAGCAGTTTGAGGCAGTGTCAGAGCCGCCTCTCAGTGCGCAGCCAGTGCTAGGCACCGAGTCATTCAACTGGACCACCTGCTCGGAGAGCAACACTGCACAGCGCGCTGCGGCCATCACTTGGATGAAGGACAACATCCCTGCACCGCCCAAGCACGGTGGGTGGCCTGCTCGTCCTCTGTAGATCTTTGTCCTGCTTGTCTCTGTTTACTGGTCTTGCAGTTTGGGTTGCACGAACCGTAGCCACAGTAAGTACCGCGCTGCTGTACTCATGACTCGTGACCTGGGTGACTGAGGCTGAGTAGAGGTAACCGTCGTCGCGCATTATTGGCCCGCCGCACAGAGTGGATCGACTGTGTCGGCCAGCAGCACATGCTGGACTGCCGCCTGGTGGGCACCGACCTGCTGGCGCTCAAAGGCTCCTGCGACCTAGCCCTCTGCACGTCGGCGGCTGTGCAGGCGTTTGTGCCACACCTAGGCCTGCGCATAGTGGTGGAACTGAAGAAGGAGGTCAAGGCCAGGTGAGAGGAGAGGCAGGATACGAGTGCATGTGCAAGGTTGGGATGTGCTGCATGGTGAAGCTTGCACATGATTGTTCCGCTGAACCATGGCGTGTGGCTGTGTATGCGTGCTTTGCAGCAACGTAAACCAGCTGGCCGCGGAGCTCATCGCAGCTAACTCCGTCAGCCCAAACCTCAAGCCCGTTGCCGTCATGACGGACCTGGTGCGTATGGGTCGCATGGCATGCACACCAAGGGATGCAGCGTGCATGACCCTACTGGCTACTACAGCAGTACTCGTGGCGGCATATGCAGGTGCCGAAGTGTCAGTGGCAGCGTGGGAACAGGGGTAATAATATGCAGCTGCACAGCACTCTGTGCACTAGCAGGAGGCCTGCAGCAGCACCACCACCACCACCCGGCCGGCGGGAGCAACTGCGCTTCCTTGCCGCCTTCTATGTCCTCAGTCTGGCTGGCTGCATGGCGACCAGCAGACCCGCAAGAGCTATGGTGCGGTCCAACTCCTGTGTGCTGCGGCACGGTGTGTAACCATGCGCGTCTTCCTCCATGCACACAGGTGGACACGTGGATCATCGCGTGGATCGAGCATGAAACGATCATGATCCATCGCTGCCACAGCCGCGCCACGGCCGTAGGCATACTGCGGGCCTTCCTTGACAAGGTGGGTGTGTACGTGCGTAAGCCCTGCTGCCCCCCCCCAGTGCCCTGCTACCCCCCCCCAGTGCCGCCGCCGTCACCCTGCCCTTCTTCGCCTGCAGCTGCGCCAGCCCTAAACATTGCCTAATGACCCCATCGGCACGGCTTGGATCGCTTTCCCTTGATTACTGCGACAGGAGCACCTCACGCAGGACAGCGCTCACATTGCGCAGCAGCCAGAGCAGGTGGCAGCCGCCGAGTCGGAGGCGGCGGTGGAGGTGGGCCGGCTGCTCAAGCGCCAGCGGCTGCCGACTGGGGTGGCGGCCGGGCGCGGCAATGATGTGGCCAACCTGGAGGACCTGCTGGACTTCACCGATGACCTGGGTGAGGCGGACATGTACCAGATCAAGGTTCACACCCTGCAGCAGATGCTGCGGGAGCGGTACGCCCCGGTCGCGCCTGCAGTGCCGCCAGCCGGAGACGTGGCTGCTCCGCTGAACATGATGTACATGTGAGGGCTGAGGGTACGGAAAGCTGCATCTGAATTCCGCGCTGCAAGATGGGTCACGAGGTTAGGGGCGTATGTGTTGGGGTAGCTCTGTCAATTCCTCGAGCAATATTGAAGAACGCGAGTTGGTGGGGCCGCATATCACCAAAGCCAGGATTGGATGCAGTGCATCAACGAGGTGTTGCCGCCACCTCGCACTCCTGACATAGGCATGGATGATTGAGAAAATGGGGACCGCGGCGGCGGTGAGGATAGCGCGGATATGTGGCGGTGGATGTGTGGCAGTGGGGATGCCGCCACGGGGATGCATCCCATCTGGACAGGGCCTGATTGACTGCGCACGCCTTCTGCTGGGGCTGAAGCGCGACCTCGCTGTGCGCGCACGGCACCCCAGGCTGCACTAACGAATGATGCAATATGCACGCAATGATCAAGTGAACAACGCATGATGAGCAGGATGTAAAGGGGAGGGCGGGGGAGGTGCGGGTGGCGGTGGGGTTAGTTGGGGTGGTAACATGCATGCATGGGTTTTACACGGCACACGTGCCGGAATTGACGCGCATTGCTGCAGGAGCATACAATACATGTATTTACAAGTGTATAATGCATTCGAGCTGTCAGATGCGAGTTGAGCCTGTGTTTTACGGGTGCTGGTGCCCATTTTTGGGGGGGTTTACCACCTGTCGTACAACCCAAAAAGTACGACACTAAGAAGCAAGTGAGTGATGCCGACATGGTGGAAGTCATGTAAGGAAGCCGTGTGCAAGGCTTGGTGCACTCACACGTTTACTAGCAAAAGTTATAAGGCCCCCAAGATCGCACTTCCTATGCAGGGCGCGCCCCCCATGTGGGAGAGCCCCCAAAACGGCCATGAAAAGGGCAGCCTGACGCCCCTTATGTTTGAGCCAAACAATCAACCCAAAACAAGATACGAGGCCTGACTGGTAGGCTGCAGCGGCCGTGTGTCGGGCCCGGGTAAGAGGCAGACCCATAGCTGTAACATATCACGCTCTACGAGGGGCAGCGAGCTAGGAACACGCGCATGGTGAATGGGTTCAAGCCTGGTGACCGCGTACAATTGCTGGAGGGCAAGGGGCTGTTCGACAAGCAGAATCCCACCAATTCACAGGAGGTTTACACCGTGACTCGGCAGAAGGGCTATAGGTTCGCCGTGGAGGGCACGCAGCGCCTGTACCGCCCCGTCGAAAATGCGTGAGGTGGTGCGTGAGGTGACTACAGGGTAGCAGGCGGGGTGATGCGCCAGGCAGAGGCAGCACAGGAGCAGCGCCAGGTGCGGCGTGTTGCGCGTGCTCTTGCCACAACTGAGCAGCAGGCTACAGGCGCTATTTAAGCATTAGAGGCACCACCAGCTGCGCCTGCAAACAGGAAGTTTGTGCTTATGGATGCTGACGGCTTCACCCTGCCACGGCGCTATAAATACTTTGAGCTAAGCGAGGTTGATCCCAGAGATGTGGAGGGGAGGTTGGAGGGCAGCAAGAAGCGGGAGGATGAAGCAAAACACGAGAAGGTGGTGAGGGTAGGCAGGGCCCTGGGGAAGGCGTATGGGGATGCAGAGGCTAAGATAGAGAAAGCAGAGGGTAGGGCCCCAAAAGCCAAAGCCAAGAGGGGTGAGCGCAGCAGGAAGGCAAAACGTGAAGTAATAGACGGGGAGGAGCATGTGGAAAAGAGCAAATTTGAGGCAAGCAGGTTTGGAAAGTCAGGTAAGCTAGAGTACCAAGTACTATTCAAGGGAGACAAGAAGCTATACTGGAGTCCTGCCAAGCAACTTGCAGAAGACCTGTTCCCTGACGCTTTCAGCGAGCTTAAGAGGGCGCTTAAGAAGCGTGGGTGAAGGGAGAGGGGAGCGGACCAGGTTGGCTCGCCCCCCTTAGGGGGCGATAGCCTTAGCAGTCGACCAAGACCCATACACTCCCGAAACCGCGCCGGTTACTTTTTTTCTCCTTTACCACACGGGTTTTCCCGACCGAGGCTAATTTAAGGGAATTCAGGACGCAGAGATGTTTCACGATGATGAGAAGTTATCTAGTTCCGATCGTGTTCCGACCGGAGGCAAGGAAATGTCAGCAGACAGGGCCAAATGCCCACGCCCGTATGCATATATGCTATTGAAATGTTGAAAATCTGTGGCGAATATTTCTTTTGTAAGGTGGCGTTGATATTGCGAGCAGATCTTAAGATTGCATGCTGGCCGACCAGGAAATAGTCGCAGAAACAAAGCCATTGCGCCAGCATAAGACAGCATGATGTCTGAAGTTGCAGGACAGCCGTAATCCCAATCGCCTACCCCGCACCCTCTTCCCGCCCCTTCGTGGTGCCCCGCCCCTCTTGCCGCCCCTCCCCCTGCCCTTCGTCTCTTGCCGACCCTTCCTCCTCTTCCTCGCCCCTTCCTCCTTTTCGTGCCCTGCCCCTTCTTGCCCCGCCGCCCTGACCCCCAGCCCGTTCTCGACAGACCCCAAGCATTATAGATGCTGTGCATACACTACTCCTTAAATAGGGGCGAGCCTTGTCGCTGCGCAGCGTAGGGGTTTGCTGGACGGGATGAGCTAGGGCTCAGTTGGGCTCAGTTTGGGCTGAGCTCGTGTCGGCCGGGAACTGAGCGGAACTCAGCCGAGCTGACGAGCTGTTTTTCTTTTGTGCATTCTTTTTTACGTTGTTCCTTTTGTTAGGAGCGATTGTTATTGAGGCTATCGCGCGAGCTGGCGAGAAAGTTTGAGTTGTCTGTCACGCTGAACTTTGTTTGTGTGCAATATTAGTTGATATTGAGTTGATTCATACATGTTGAGTATGACTCAAATAGTATTCTTGATGCATTCGATAAGGAGTCACTCAGCTCTTACACGTTTAGGTACCAGTCAAGAATGAGTGGCCCAATTTTTTGTCGGCTAGTGACACTTCAAATTTATATGAGGGAAACTGTGATGATAAGTTAACTTAAGAAATTTTACTTGTTTAACCGCGTTTGGGCCACTCATTCTGCTACCTTTATCGATTACAGCTTGCAGCATTCGTGAATGAATCGATTAAGGCTTGCAGTATTCGGTGTTTATCTACACCTTCACAAGAAATCGGTGGAAACACGACTGAACTCAGCAACTAAACTTCCCGCGCTAATCGTCGGAGTGCTTGGGCGAATAATCGTCAAAACATCGATTGAGTTCATTGTGATAACATCGATTAAAATAGGGGCCTCAAAGACTGGAAATCAACGCAGTCTTGGCGGGAATCGATGGGGAAGACCACGCGTGGAGCGGCTCTGGGAGGTAGGCGTGATTACCCTGCTGCTGGTGATGATGGTGATGATGGTGATGATGATAGAAGGTGTGCGCTGTAGGGGCTGGATAGCCAAGAAGCATCACGCGGGTGTGGTTTGGTAAAACTCTATGGTTTTAGTTAGGGTTTAGCTCGGGTTTAAAATCCTGATAGGCGGTAGAGGTAGGGATTGGCGGCGATAGGAGCAAAGAGGGGCGGTTGCGATCTGGTCTGCGGAGTTGGGGTTGGGGCCGGTGGGAGCGGTTTTGCGGCCGCCACTAACCGCGTTCGAAGGGATGCCAACTGCGAAACGCCACAAGCCACGAAATCACAAAACCTAAAGCGTAAAAACAAAATTACCACATTGAGATCACCATTTCCATAGTTATTGCCATTGCCTCTGCTATTCTTATTGCAATTGCGATTGTTATTGTTATTGTTATTGTTAATGTTGCTGCAGGAGTGGCTCCGGGAAGAGGTGGACTCGGGGGAGGCAACATGCGCGTTGGCCTTTGCAGTGCGCACCCGATCAGAACGGGGCTGCGGCGGCTGCGGTGACGGTGGCGACGGTGATGATGTTGATGGTGGCAGCTACCGTCCGGCTGAGCTGTACCTTGAGGAGCCTGTGACATCAAGTGACAGTGTGCGGTGAGCATGTACGGCCGTACGGCCGTTCAGCTTCACTGGGCTGCCGGGCAAGGGGGGACGCGGTTTGTTCACTTTGCTTTCAGGCATTTCAGAAGCCAATCAGATGCGTTTGGAGCTAGGAGCTTTGTGGTGAATGAGGCTCCCCTTACATGTGCCAAATATATATATGGCACCCTGGGCTTCTGATGTTGGTTGAAGGAGTGCCGTATCATTGATTACCTATAACATATATATTTTTTGCAATACCTTTATTACGCCTTTGCCTCGTTGCTGCTGTTGTGTGAGTCACCTGTAAAGTTGTTCAAATAATTGAAGTTATGTTTCTGGCCGCTAAGGAGGAAAACACGCAGCGTCGCGCAACTGCAATGTGCGCGCGTCTTTTCGGGCAACGGTTATGTCATCGATTGGTACAGCATTTTGGTCTGATAATTTTTGGCTTTGGTCTTTCGGCTTTGATTGTTAACGTTGTTGTGCATGCTTGTGATGAACAGGTGATTGAACGGGCTGTTGGTCCATTCCCAGCGCCTGGCTTAATCCAGGGCGGAGGTTTTATCGTATAATATACTGACCCTATTGATACTGACACACATATGAGCAGCGGCGGCATCAGGCAAGAAAGCCTGGACATTTCTCTTTTCACTTCATTCAATTCCTTTTTTCGATCGCATCATTCCCTCGAAGCGCAGTGCGGGATGGGCGGGAATTTGAATATGACGGAGAGGTTGCAACCTTGCCTGTTGGTTCTGGTGAGGACCACAGACAAGGCTAATGTTTTAACGGAGAAAAGGATGTACGGCGACATTGTACAAAATTGTACAAGTCGGGCTCTAACTAGTACGAGTCTCCACGATGGAACATTCTTGTACGGGGTCGTATTAACGTAGAAAATGCTTTTGTCTCGCTGCCCGTTCGCCAGCTCGTTCGGCGGCTTCTTTGTGCACTTGGTGAAACCGTGCTTCACCAATTATACTTTACCAATGCGTAAACAGTTGCGAATCTTAAAGCAATTTCTGGGGTACGCAAACGTAGCCAACTAGTTGTCACTTATTATTAACCTGCAGATTGCTGTCTTCTGAGTGGTTACACTTCGGTTACGATTCGGTTACCATTCGGTTACTGTCCTAGGCGGCGCGGCCGAAGCCAGGTGGTTGCTTGTGTATAATGCGTTACCTACGCCGAAGCTAGAGATGGCCTAGGGTTATTTCGGTCATAGTTACTGATGTTGCAAAATGCCGCACGCATCGATTGAGCGGCCATTAAATGTGGATGTGGGTACCCGGAAGCGGCAAAGAAAACAAGTTGATCGCCCCCCGGTCATCCCTCCCCTTGCCGCATATTCTGTCCTGCGACAAGCCGTGATCCCTCATGTGAACTTGTATGCTTTGCCGAGCCGAGCACATTTCCGTTGTGAATTTTGTCTCTCTTCGTTGCCGTTGACGTTCAGGAATGGGTTCGTCGATTGTTCCACAGGCATCGCTTGTGCATTATTAAGGTGAAAAAAATTATATATAAATTGCCGTGTAAAAATATGTATGTCGGCAAATAAAATTAATGTTTTAGTGTCTTGGGCAATAAAGATTCGTCTCCCGCTTGGGACGCTGGGCGTAACTGGGCTGATGGTGGGTCCATGCTTGGTGAAAACATTGACTTCCATTACGCTTTACAGCTGTACTGTTGCCCTAGCGACGGAGTTCCCGGCTGCAAGCCATGCAATACCGCACTTGCGACGTTGCTGACAACGACAGTAAAAGTTTTTGCTTGTAACAGGACAAATATTATAAAGCTGGTTGCTGCTGCAGCAGCAACCACAGCTGCTGCTGCTGTAGCATTCAGCTGCAGCACCGAGTTAGTTCGTGTTCATGTCTGTCGTTTTGGTATCATGCTGCTCCAGGGAAAAGGGGAGAACGAGGGATTAACTTTGCGAGTGAGGACAAAGGGATACGTGTGCTTACATGTGCGTGCGCGTTTTCATGATCTTCGGAGCCGCGATGTGGTAAATGTATGTGTCGATGGTGGTACACGAAGATAACTCCATACCGAAGCGAGCTCCGTAATCACCAGTGACGCGGTGGAATTTTTCATTAAAATGTAAATGGCTAGAATTTTAAATTAATTTTTTTGCATTTGAAAATGTGATGCCAGAGCCAGTAAAGATTATGCGGCGCTGTAGTGGCGAAGGGCGACTGGAGGCTGCAGGGTGGATGGGGACCGCGAGTAACCACGAAGCGACAGGTAAAATATGGAGCGTTCACTACTTCTTCTCACAAGATTCCATGCCAACAAGCGCCCGCAACTCTCGCGGCCAGCCCTCCTTACCCTTCGAGACACACACACAAACACACATACATACACACGCACCTACATACATACATTCATACATATATACACAAACCTAATTAAATGAAACCCATAAAGTCTTACACAGTCACATCCACCACACAGTCTGTGCGTGGTCGTCTCCACACGATCCGAGCACCAACGTGCATATATCAAGTTCCAGCGTACGACAAGTACAACTGCAGTACGACGTGCATAGGTGCGGTGAAGCACACCAACAAGACCTCCAATGCGGGGCAAGGGAAAGCGAAGTAGGACCAGCCATAGTGATGTCCGATCCTCTACCCGACATTCTTAGACGGTGAACTGAACGGGACTCTAACCCCCCAGAGTGTAAAGCCGGGCCATGCTCCAACCCATGCCTTACGCCATGCCTCAAGTCACAAATGCAAAAAGCAGTACAGCAGCAGACCACGGACAGGATCGTAAAGCAGCTGCCAAAACACCGACACTTTCCTTCCCTCACACGTGAAGACTCTGCTTTAGTAAAAAGGCTGTGTGAAAATAGCCTATAAAGGAAGGGGAGATGCGAGCAGCTCTTACCAGCTTATTGTTTACTTTTCCAATGATTTTTTCCTCGCATGTTGATGCCGATGCCGATGCTGATAATGGCAACAACAGGACAGCATGCCGAGATAAGACACACTCAACGAAATATTTTCCCCTCCCCCCAGTTGTGTCGAGAACCCGAGAACCCCTCCTCCCACCCATCCACAACCCAGACACGGACCCGATCCAAAACAATTCAATTCAGCAAACCCAAAGTCCAGCAGAGCCCCATTCCAGCAAACCGCTCTCAACTTTCTCATTCCTTGCCAGCGTGTCCATTCGTAGTGGTGGTGGTGGTGGTGGTTGCGCTGCGGCCTTGCAGGGGTTGTTGCAAAGGCACAACACTACCAGGCCCCCCACGCCCCAAGAGCCTCCTCCCCCTCCTCGCATCCGCACTCCCTCTCTCTCTCTCTCACAACCACATGCACCGCACTCCTCCCTTCTCCCTCTACTCATACCGGGCGCTCAGTAGACGTCTATTCATCCGACTCTGAATCCTCGTCGTCTTCGTAATGCCGTGTTCCCGCTCGTCGTGCGCCTCGCCCAGTCGGCTGCTGCGGCTGGGGGGGCCCTCCGGAAGGCCGAGCGCCGGTTCGGCCCCGGGGACCGCCACCGCCGGGGATGACGCCGTGATCTTGCATGTGCATCGGCATGGGCATGTGCATCGGCATATGCTTCGGCACGGGCATGTGACCAGAGGCGCCAGAGCCGCCCCCGCCTCTGGGCTGTTGCAGCGGCATCCTTGCACCCGGCCCACCTGGCGGCACCAGCCCGGGCGGCATCAGCCCGGGTTGCCCCATTTGCGTCATCAAGAGCTGCATCTGTAGCCCAAGCAGCGCGGGGGCCGGCATCTGCTGCGGCAGCATCGGTGGAGCGACACGCCGTGAAGCGGCCGCCGCTGCCGCGGCGGCGGCAGCAGCAGCAGCCCACGCCGCCGGCCCAGACCCGGGACCGCCAGCGCCAGCGGCGCCGCCACCGCCGCCAACACCAGCACCTGCCCGCCCCGGACCTGAGGGGCCCAAGCCGCCGAAACCCGAAGCCGCTCCCAGGCTGCCGCCACCGCCGCCGCCACCGCCGCCGCCGCGCCGTGGCGCCGCCCCAGGAAACGCGTCAAGCAGGTTGGCATACGCCCGTTCCGTATTAAGCGCTGCATCGACGCCGTATTCATCGGGCCCAAGTGGCCTTCCGCCTGCTGCCCGGTCGAAGGCTGGGCCCATGAAGGGGGCCATAAAAGGGGCCATGCCACGACCGCCTCCAGGCAAGAACGGAGGTCTCGGCGGAACCCCAAAGCCCCCCGGGAACATCCGCATGAAATCCTCGGGGCCTGGCAGTGGCCCGGGACCAACATCTACGAGTTGCAAAATGGGAGGTTGCAGAAGGGAGGTTGGGAGACAAGAGGTTGTGATGCGATGGTCACGTTTTGGGGGGAAATGGCGGGGAAGACAAATAGAAGACCTCCCCTCTAGTACATGGTACAGAGCCTTGACTGCTTAAGGAAACACCATGCATGCTTTTACGAGTCAAGCAGACAAGACGAGGAGGACAGTTCTCTGTTTGCTGCCGACCGTATGCAATGTAAAGAAACCAACAGACAGGCTGGGTCAGTCCAGACTCTAGGTGAATACGCGCCATTTGGGGGTGTCGACTCGTGCAAAGCCAGGCCCGGATGGTGCCGAGACTGACCCACGGGTCAGCCCGTCGGGAAGGGGAGCCGAGAGCCATGGGTAGTAAACCCAATACTTGAGAGGCGGACTTTGAATGGATCATGTCAAGACGCAGCCATTGAGCCCACATGTTTCTTGCTCCCCTCCTCTTCCATTCCAGTTCGCAGTTTGCACGCGTACTCCCGCCCTCTCCCTCTCCATCTTCCTCACCGTTGCTCTTGTCGCTGTAGTCCTCGTCACTACTCGCGCCTGCGTCATCGCCAACATCGCCGGCTCGACCTGCTGCGGCGGCCCCGCCCCCGCCGGGCCCCCCACGCGCGCCACCTGGCCCACGTGTACCCTCGCCAACGCCGACGTGGCCTCCGTCGGCGTCTGCACCGGGGGGAACCGCACGGGACGCCTCACCCCTCCTCTGCTCCCTAGAAGCCGAGGCGGCCGCCGGCGGCAGCCGCGCCATACGGCGATCCGCAGCGGCAGGTTGCGGATCTTCCTCGTTCTCACTGCCATCCGCCTCCGCCGCCGGGCCGCTACCCTGCGGCCCACTCCACTGCTGCCCCCCTCCGCCGCCGGGTGCTGCCTGTCCTCGAGACGGGCCACCTGCGCCAGCGCCGGGCACCTTGCGGAATCTTCCAGTTCCCGCACCTGCACCGCCACCGCCGCCTGAGCCCGCTGCCGCCGCCAGCAAAATCGCGGCGGCCTGTTCAGGACTGCTCATCGCCTTGCTGCTCACCACGTCTCTCCCGCCGGTGAAAGAACCGCCCCCGCGAGGTACTCCCTTCGCAAACCGGCCACCCTCCCTGGCACTGCCTCCGCCACCGCCGCTGTTAGCCGGCGCCGCCGCCACGGCCCAGCGCCCACCTGGCGGTCCATCACCACCCTGCCCTCCGGCACTGTCGCCCTTAGCAGTAGCGGCGGTGCCCTGTGACGAACCAGGCGCCGCCCGCGTACCTCGCTCATGGCCTTGTGCTTGTCCTTGGCCCTGACCGTAACCCTGTGAGCTGCTCGGGTCTGTGGCAGCGCCGCCGCTGTTGCCGCGAGTTGTAGCAGCTGCAGCGCCGGACGGCCGGTCTCCAGGTCGTCTGCTGTTTGAAGGCCCCGAGCTGCCGGCGGCGGCGGCGGCTGCTGCGGCCGCTGCCAATGCCTCAAAGCCTTGACCCTGGCTTTGACCCTGCCCCGGGCCGCGTGCCCGGGCGCGAGTGACCGCTCCTCCTCCTCCATCGGCCACCGGGCCATGGCGGGCAAGGTGCGGTCCATGCTGCAGCTGCGGTGGCCGATCCTCGCCGCTTCCAAACAAACCGGCCACGGCCATGGCGGGGCCAAACGGAAGTCCCGGCGGTGGAAGCGGCTGCTGCGGCGGCGGCCAGCCAGCGGCTGCTGCGGCAGCGATGTTGCCGATGGGCAAGCCACCTAGAGGCAGGGTTCCCACGGGAGGCAAGGTGCTGCCGCGCGGCAAGTCGCCAATGGGCAAGGCCCCCATGGGTACATCTCCCGGACTGAGGGTGCTTATGGGCACGGCGAGGCACAGAACGGGCGGACCACCATCCGGCTGCGGAGACGGGTGCGGGTACATGCAGTACCCAAGCGCGGGCGAAGCAGGGGGGAAGGCAGGGTATGAGAGGCAGGGAAACGCAGCGGCAACCCCCAAAGGAATGACAACCCCCCGGGATATGAGCTGCCATGAGATGTAGGCATAACCCATGCATGCACCCATGCATGCACACACACAGGCAAACTGACAGGCAGGACAATAGGGATAGTTGGGGGGTTTAGGGTTTTGGTGATGTACACGATGTAGGCCATCAGGTCGAGAACGCGATGTGCACCTACCGGACGCAGGACCACCATAGGCAGGTCGGGGAGGGCCCCAGAGCGGCCCAGACCTTCCAGAAGGCCCGCATAGGCAGCGGGATCCCCCACCGGCGGCAGCCCGAGAGATGGCGTCAGTCCGAGGGGGCCCCTGCCAAACATACTCATATTCACCACCGGTAGCGGTGGTTGTGGTGGTGGCGGCACTTCCTCCCGCGGCGCCCCATAGTCCTCTTCTCGCCATTCCTCCCCATCGTCATCGACCGCAGCTTCCGCCTCCTCCCGCCGCTCCTCCTCCTCGTCGTCCTCCTCCTCCTCCTCCTCGGCCCCCTCGGCGTCTCGCCGCTTGACCTTGGCAGATTTGCGCTTCTCGCGCCCGGCCCGCCCGCGCTCCTCATCCGCTTTCGTTCGCTGCAGAAGCAGCTGTGGCGGTGGCCGCGCTGGTTGCTTCTTCTTCTCCTCCTCGTCCTCCTCGACAGCCTCCTCGCCTCCCTCATCTTCCTGCAGATCCGCCGCCGCCACCGCTGCAGTAGCAAGGGCTACGCCCCGCGCGCTCTTACGCTGCGTGCGAGACCGAAGGATAATCTCTTGTGGCTTGGGCGGCTCGGGCCTGGGCTTCGGCGGTGGCGGCGGCGGCCGCAGCTTCTCCTCGTGTTGCAGCAACCGCATTTTGTCTTCCTGTAGCCGCTGTACCTGCCGCTGCAGCTCCAGAACCTTCTTCTGCAGGCCCTTCTGCATGTTACGCGAGGGCGATGGCGGGATATCCGTCATGGCCATGGCATCAATAAGCCTCTCCTCCTCCTTCTCTATTCGCCGCCGCAGCTCTTCCGCGGACTCCTCATCCAATTCGGGTTGCGCAGCCAACAGCAGCATCAGCGAATCGTCCTTCCCACTGACTAGCTGCCTCTGTTTCGGCTGCAACGGTAGAAGCTGTTGGTGTTGCTGATGATGATGTTGCTGCTGTTGTTGCTGCTGACGTGATGACCGCCGTGGAAGTTTCAGCGCCTGCATCCGCTGCTGGACCTCAGGCTCTCCCTCCTGCTCCTGCGCCGGGTGCTTGACATCTCCGGCGGATGTCGGCTCCTTCTCCCTCTCCTGGTCCTGCTGCGGCTGCTGTTGTGGCGGCGGCGGCGGGACTTTCCGGGGGAGGGACTCCGAGGGCAATCCCAGTCCCACCTCCCCAGCCCGTCGAGCCTGCGACAGCGGCGGCGGCGCAGTCCCCATGGTCGCCGGCCGCCGGCCGCTTGGCGAGCCGGACCGCGCGGGTGATGGCGGATTCGGGCTGCCATGGTCCTCGCCGTCGGATTCGAAAAGGCCTTCGCGGCGCGTCTGGGCGCCACGCACCGTTGGCATATAGCGGCGCCTGGGCCGTTTGCTTGCGGGGCCGCTGGCAGCCGCGGAGTCCACGGGCGGTCCCGCTGAAGACCGCTTGCGGCTGGTCGCGGCGGCCGCATGGGCTTGGCGTGGCGACAGTGGCGGCGGGAGTGGGGGCGGCAGCAGCAACGGAGGCTTGTTCTCCGTGTGAATGTCGCCATCGCCATCATTGCCGCCGCCCCCGCTTCGAGCGCCATCATGTCCTGTGCTTTGCGCAGCAGCTACGGCCGCGGCAGCTGCTGCTGCAGCAGCTGCAGCAGCAGCAACAGATGGTGCCACCCCCCGTGATGAATCGCCGGTGCCTGCATCCCGGTCAGCGTTACCGTCTCCGGCCGCGAGGAGGCGTGGCCCTCCGTCCGTAATCGGCTCCTCGCGGCTCGCGCCCCGGCCTGCATGCTCTGGAGAAGAGAGGTCCAGCGCAGACACTCCCCCATCGCCGGGAAGCGGCGTCTGGCTTGGCGGGCCCCCAGCCATACCCAAAACGCCATCTACACCAGCACTTACACCGGGGCCGCTGGGGAAACTGACGCAGCCCCCTCCTGCGGTTTCCGAAAACGCAGCCGGCATCGCAGGAAGCCCTAGTTGCCCTAGCGCGGCAGCAGCAGCAGCAGCAGCTGTAGTCTTGGATGCTTTATTTACCGCTGGGTTATTACCCCCCGTGGGTGGCTGGAGGGCCCCGGGGGCCCAGCCAGGAAGGGTGCTGGTATTAGGGGGTACATCCGTCAGCATCATGTGCATCATGCTGCCTTCCTGCTGCTGATATTGTTGTTGTTGTTGTTCTTGCTGCTGGGCCCCGGGCTCCCCGGGGTTTTCTTCTCCGTCTTGCCGCTGCTGCCCCTGCAGCTGGCTCAGCTGCATTTGCTGCAGCAGCTGCAGCTGCTGCTCCTCTCTTTCCTGCTCAGAAAGCGGTTCGTTGGACAGGTGGTTTAGTTGCATTTGCTGCACGTTATGGTGGTGGTGTAGCAGTGCCAGACGCAGTTGGTCATGTGGGTTGAGTCGCTCAGGCTGGACGTCGTTAATATTAAATGGTACTCCTGGAGGCCAGTTTTGGCGGGGCTGGATTTGAATTTGAAGCGGGATGCCCATGGATTGTAGCATCCCCATGGGGAACATTCCGGCCACGGGGTTGGCCAGCAGCGGATGACCAGATGCCGCAGCGGCCGCCGCAACTAACGCAGCTGCCTCCGCTTCCGCCAGACGGTTTTCTTCCTCGTGCGCCTCCAGGACCGCGCTGTAGGCCGAATGCCGCGCGTCGTCGTCGTGTTCGCGTCCCTGAACGGCCAGAGCGTAGGCACGCAGCAGGGAACGTGTGCCTTGTCGAGTTGCCCGAAGCGTGCTGTTGTAGATGTTCTGTGCGTTAGAGGGACCGCGGGGTGCGCGTCTGCGTGAGGGACAGGTGCTCTGAACCGGCCAACTTTGCAACCCCGGTGCGCTGCAACATCCGGCTTTGTGGTCTAATACATAATGGGTATCGAAACAAGGTCGCGTCAACGAACCTTTTAAGCGGTTGACAGGAGTTGTCGGCAAAACATTCTGAAACGCAAGACCGAGCTGGCCCTTAGCAACCCATGCCTGAAGTGTCGAGCCCTATTCATGCTTTCAATGAGGCTTGGATCGCTAGCGTGAAAGCAGAAGCTTGTTTTAAGTAAAGCCATCTTGCAAGCCAATCACACTATGCTAAGGCGTCCCATAGCCGTAAAGCTTTCCTATCAACTTGTTGTAGCTCCCATTTACATAAATTTGTTAAGAGGTCTGCGGAAGAGGGGCAACCCGTAAACGAGGGGCCGGCACTATGAGGTCAGGCTGTCCAAATTACTCCTTCTCTGCTGCATCAAACACTAAGACTTAAAGTCAGTTCCATTTTTAGGCTCCGCCACAAAGCGCGTAATCAGGCAACAGTCAGGCAAAGTCAGTAGGCAACGTCGGCACCGTGCAGGTCCCACCTTGACTTCACCAGGAGTTCGGCCAGGTAAGCTTTTCGCTATTAGCATCCATGCATTGCCATGCAGGGCATGTTTCTCAGCCAAAAGACTCTCCTCTTCCAGGGTCCACGCAGGTCTCTTGCGACGCTGCCGAAGGGCGGCGGCAAACCACCATAATAAGGTCAAGCTTCCCTTATGTAATAACTAGGATACAAACCATGAGCTCGGAGCCGTATTCCGGCTTTAACCTCCTCACCCTTCTTTTCTCCGTTCCCTTCAGAAGATGCTCGTTCTTGCGGGACCACTCCTTCCTCCCAGCTGCAGGAGATGGATCATCAGATGATGTCGTTCCGTCGTCGCTATACATTGGGATACCGCTATTACGTGCCTGGTCGAGGCTGACTTCGTGTCCAAGCTTGGCCGACCCCAGCCTTAGGGATGTGAGGGTTTAGCACACATTTCTAAAATTTCACTGAAGTGACCTGTAGGACTGCTTTTGCTTAAGGGGATTAAGGTAAACAAGTAAAACGGTTTGCGTCAGTACGGAATCCTCAAACCTTTGCTGAACACACTGTGCATGCTATACATCAAGTTTACTTGCTTGCGGTCGACCGAATGAACAGCCTTTGGATGGTTTTTGCCGCAAGTGACTTGCCTTGCCTTACAACTTTACCCATGCAGTTTGCCACAGTACCCTAAGTACCTAGCATGAAAATTTCGTATTTTGTGAATCATGGCGGCCTGTAGCGAATACAAGCGTGTGTCCAACTGTCGCCCGGCTCGTACAAAACCTCAAAACAAAAAAACTCAAGGCCACTTATAAAGCACATATGCTCCAGCTGAAGTAGAGGCTCTCGTGCTGCCACGAACATGCTAGCTAGCTTACAGCAAGAGCATACCAATGACGAGTTGCGTCGGCCTCCAACAGTCCTTGAGTTAGCCTCGGCTAGCTGCTCCTTACATGAATCATCCCTCCGTTCTACAGAAGCACTTGCTCATAACTTGACATTAGCGCTTGGATTCAATTCATTAGGAGGATTCATTGCCAGGAAACGTTCTCTTCTGGTGACCCGCTGGAGAAAGGGCTTCCATATCCACGGCAAAACCCCGCCGCTTCATCTCCTTATGTAAGCCACCTTGCTTAATTTAAAGTAGCAGTTCAGGTCTTAAACACGCATATTGGCATTCTACCGCCAACCACGCGCCGGAACCAATTTCCAGCAGCACGAACGGCTATTCGGAACGCCGATATCAGCAGACGATCCTGTTTTCAATCCCTTTCTTCCCTTAACGTATCTGAACATAGGAACATACACAGTAAGTATGCCAGTTAAATAATTGTGCATCGAGGCTTTAAAAGATTGCAACAGTTGCTTTACAGCAGGATCCAATTTGTAGCTTGTAAGTAGATCCAACTCCGCACCCTCCAAACGCAGGCGCTGTTCAGTTAGGGCAGATACGTGGTACAAAGACCCGTGCCCGACCTCCGCGACACCATGCGAACAAAGCTAATCACGGGCTCATCACCTCCACTCTAAACTCACTCCCCGCACCAGCCATGGGCCAGGACAAAGGTCGCAAATGGGGGTTAATTAGCCAACTGAAGCCCCAACCTCCTACCACCACCAAGATTCCCAACTGTGCAACGACTTGGGGCTTGGCTGCCTCATAACTCGGCGTGAGTATGTAAACCACAGACCAGCCAATCCGTTCAGGAAGACACACGCACCCATTCAAGTTTTTATATTCGTTGTTTTGTCAGGCAGCAAACGCACATGGCCAGCAAGCACCTCGGTAAGGGTCTTGATGACGACACTCAGAGGAGGTATTTTGCTAAGGGGCGTGTGCGGCGGCGGCGGCGGTCTCGGAGCGCCGCCATTCGCAATGCCGGCAAGCAGGGCAGCCCCGAGAGCTTGGAGCAGCACAGTTGCTGCGCGCTTGTGCTTGCGCTCCCGGGGCGGTGAGAAAAGGCTGTTGGGGTAGCAATTGTACTGGATTCGATGCCGTGCATGTGGCAAATGATGTACGGTTGCGACATCATGTCGTACACCATCACCCGAAACACCTAACCCCCGTACACAGCCGTGCTTATCATTCGAAACCTCTGTTGAGGCCGTTTGCCATCGTCTCAAAAAGTACCTCCCCCCCCGGCGGGGAATGGAAGGGGGAACAGGCGGGGACGAGGATGGGCTGAGAAACACAACACTGCCCCAGAGCCATATCGTACAGAAACCCAGGTGGGGCTGGAGATTGCACTCGCGGCCGGCACCTCTCGGAATGTGCGGTTGGCTGTGCAGGGGTAGTAGTATAATGCCTGTACACGAAGACCTTCCGAAGATCCTCCCAGAAAGAGTGTGTGTGTGTGTGTGTGTGAGAGTGTTTGTGTGTTGTGTATGTGTGCTCTTCGTGTGATATATTACTAAGCACAGCTTTGCGCGTGTACATTTCTTAGACGTTCGAGACTTATAACGCATAGCCACGAGAGTATACATATATATGCATGTATGAATGTATGTATGTATACATATATGTAGGGTTTCAGCGATAGGGTTTCAGCGTTGCTCACTTGCGTCAGAACGCATCTCAGGCTGGCTGGAGAGGCCATACCGGCTAAGGATAGTGCACGATATCTGGGGTTAGTGTATGGGCCGGAACGGCAGTTCTGGGCCCGCCGTCAGCAGTTGTACGACACAGCTAGAGCAAGCTATGTTCGCGTTGAGTGCAAAATTAGATAAGCTAAAGTTGTTCGCCCCAGATGTGAGGATGAGGTGTTTCGATACGCAGGTACGAGCAATACTGTTGTATGGTTGTCAAGCGTGGGGGCCGTTTATGCTAGCTGAGGTCTTGGACAGGCTCAAGAGGCGGAGTGATGCGAATAACCTTGCAGAGGGGCCCTTCGAGGCATGCCTAAAGAACAGAGCAGTGCAGCTTCAGATATCTTTCATGCGACAAATTGTAGGAGCTGCCAGACCAACACACCGCCTCCTGTTTGCTCTGCAGAGCTGTCGCAGCTACCCCTTCACTACCACGTTCTCAAGCAGGTTGTGAGGTTTTGGAACCATGTCCGTTTACAGCGTGGGTCTGTGGCACACCAAGTTTTACGACAGGAGGTCGCAGAGTCCCTCTCCAACCCCGAAGGGGCCGGATGGGGGACACTACTCCTCCGTTTTCTATGTTTTTTGGGGCACGACATATGGAAGGAGGCCCCGCAAGGGCTACACGAGGTAGACGAACGAGTGGAGTGGCTGATGAACAGGCCAATGCCAGAAGGTGTGGTTTTGGAGTTCAAGGACCGATTAGCGAGTGGTTGGAAGCATACGCGTTTAGATGTCCAGCCTGACGTGTACCCGTCAGACGGCAAGCAGCCAGGAATTCACATGGCGAAGTATAAGCATTGGATGGGTCTGGCGGCCGAGCAAGCGGGCAGGAAGGAGGTGCTCCCGCATATCGCAATGTTTATCCCGCGTTCAGCGAACCGCAAGCTTATGTGTGTGTGTGTGTGTGTGTGTTACATGGTTGGGGGTGCGTGACCCCATACCTGTAAGACTACCCATACGAGCCGAAGGCCCAAGGGCAATACTACAACGCCTAAAAGCCACGGAGAAAAGGAAAAACACCGCACATCAGCCCAGACTAGCGTCCAAAGGGGGTAATTGAGTTTCGGTGAGCCCACATACGTTCCAACATCCTCGCCAGACGTGCGGGTTCCCATTGCATGGCCTCCAACATACTCTGTTGATGATCGAATCCCTCTTCAGCACGAATATCATTATAGGCTGGGCATTCCAATAACACGTGTTTTTCATCCTCAATTCGGCTATTAGGACCACAACAGTGGCAAAACCGCTGCCCCCTGGGGACATGGTACTTGCCCCTTCGTGCTCTGTTCGCCTCCAAAGCCCAGCAACATAAACGAAACTGCATTAGCTTACGATGTGCTAAACGAGGAATGAAAACCTTAGCATGTGTTGGCCACATGACGGCTGCGGCTCCCGAAAAGGGCAGCCCCATCCAGTGCTTATACTTCGCCATTTGCACTCCCGGTTGCTTCCCATTTGATGGGTACTCCTCTGGGTACTCCTCAAGCTTATGCAGTTTAGGCTTTGCTGTTGGGCATTGGCGGCTAACAGAGCGCGTAAGGGACGGCGTTATATACCTAGGGAGGAGCGAGTATGCCCTTGCTGCGGCACCGATAGCCATATCGAGGACGAGAAGCACATTTTGATGGACTGTCCGGTGTACAACAAAATCAGATCCGATATGGGTTTCCCACGCTCCGAGCATATGAAGGACGCTATGAAGTGGGAACCTGAACGCCTGGCAAGGATGCTGGAACGCATATGGTCCCACCGCAACTCTATCGTTCCCTTTGGTCGATAGTATCCTTCATCAAGGGGAAACGCGGGGTTGCACACGCCCTCGGTCGAGCAGGAGGGGATAGTGGCCCCGCACGCCCCTCTCCCCCCATCAGCTTCACTCGCTCGTGGTTCGTCTTTCCCCTCTCCCCCCACAAGGAGGAGGCAGTGCTTCGGCGGTCGTTCCTCTTGGGGTACGGTTAGGTGCCCCTGGCCAGTGTCAGGCCCCCGGATTGAAATGTAACAAATGCACATACCTACAGAGAGTCCGTCATGTCTTCATTGCAGCGCCATGCCCGGACGGAGGCGCTGCTGAGCGGCTATGTCGTGTTGTGGCAAAGCCTGAGTCGGGATCGGGATCACACAAGATACGCGACAAGCTCGTGCTCCCGTTGTGTCTGGTATCGGGCCCCCGCTTTCGCGGCCCGCAGTGTAACCTAAGTTATATATATACATATATACATACATACACGCACACCACCACTATCTGCGTTACATCGCTGCATCACGTGTTTCTCCGGGATACTTATTAAGCAGCCTCTCGCACAAATGTGTCCGGTCGTACTTCGCGAATAAAAGGTCCGTACATGACGCCCCAAAAGCCAGGAGCGAATTTTACCGCGCAGATGCGCGCGTGCGATTCTCCAAATGCGCCTGTACAAGTGTATATAAATTTTCTTGGCGGAAAAGGACCAGGTGCGCCAGCGCATTGCGCAGGTGGGCATGTTGGCCATAGTCGCACCCGGCATACAGGCTGGACTATTGCGTGGCTGCTTTGCAGTATCTGAAAGCACCGAAAGCCTACGTCGTAGCTTGCAACACTGGGCTCGTGAAACTGCCGCAAGAAGATGAAGCGCTGGCGAAGAGGCAGTTGTGTGCAGCACCTTGTTCAGAGTAAAGTCAAATTACAAAGTTGCGCAAAGTATAACATACATAAACTGAATTAAACATAAGAACAGATAAGACGTTTAGAGCCTTGTCGGTGACATGGACGCCGCTGTTGGCTTGGAACAGCTATTTGCTGTGCATAGGGACGTGCCCGCGTTAGCCGTGTTGCAACAGCTCAGGATGGATTTCAGCCAGCAACAGCCTCAAGAGCTGCTGCACAACCACCGGGAATGTCTTCAGTTGAGCACGTGTAGTTTTGGTCGGCGGGGTCGAGCAACGTACGCAATGCGCACAGAAACCAAGGTGCAGCGTTCTGTAACATCGCCAACATATCCGGTACGCGGTGGCAGGCTTGCCGAGCACGAAATGAAGGGGGGGTCGCATCTCACCATTCAACTAAGCATGCATGTGCTCGGTTGAATGCTCGGTAGCGTGCGAGTTTACCCCTATCAGGATGTTTGTTTGCATATCCCTCCAAGCGAGAGGGCTTGGACCTATGCTGATGTTCGTTCCAAGAAGTGAACTGAGGACTGATGCTACGGTGAAAGATTTGCACGTCAATTCGCCCGTGCAATAAAACGCCCTGTAACTCGCTTACCCTAATCTCACATTCCAATATGCCACTGCACTTTCCTCTCCAGCCTGGCCACATTCTCTTCCTCGCAAACGTACTTGGGCACCTTACAATCCAACACCATACGGGCTTTGGAAACGCGGGCAGCTGCTTCACAAGGACCCCCCTATTTTGCATCGCCCAATACGTACAATAAATAGTACGACAGGGACATACCTGCTTCGCGCTTCCTACATAACAAAAACAGGCAAAACGTTCAACACAAACAGTAACAGCAGCCATGACGTAGCCGTGCTCCTTCCAAAGGCCACAGGCTGCCAGTTGTTGCCGCAATCACCTCCCGGACATCAGGAATATGACAAGCTGCCTTTGTCTCAGGCAACAAAGCAACGCTCGTGAGTAGCAACCGTCGCCATCGCGAATTTGCTGCGAACCAATTTTTATGTATGTATGTATGTATCCATCTATCTTCCAGGCTTTTGCAAGTCGTGTATCCAATTTTCCGGGCCCAGATGCCGATGGATTCAGAATCTAGCAGTAAACAGCCCAGTGTTGCCGTACACTGTACGGAACAACAGCTACACATGTGATAACTTTCTGATGACGGGGCTCAGGCTCCATGCAACCCATAATGAAACTGCAACCGCAACCATATTAGCGACGATGGCGACGACGACGATGAAGAGAACCGTGGAATGCACGTGCTGACTCCAAATCCGAAAGCCTCCCGGGCCTTTTTTAAATCCTCATTCTGAATCATCATTTTTTGCCGTACGGATTGCCGTACACAATGATCTTTGGCACCACGTCCAACAACAAATCTACGGGTAGAGCAAAGTTCACTCCGCTGCCTCGAGCCTGGCGGCAGGGGGGTTGTTTGATGCAGGGTCGTAATGCCGTACAAGAAGCTAAGTTTACGTTAGGGGTAAAAGGCGACGTCGCGTGATGTACATCATCAAAAGTTGACGTGGCGCAACACACGATGTCGTGAATGCACGTGAAGTGCAAAAAGGGGAGAGTGTTTGAATGACCATAGGCGACACAGCAAGCGGGGCGCATAAATGTGCACGGCCGTCCATGTGTGCGTGAACGCGTCTGTGTATGTATGTATGTATGTACATATGTATGTATGTATGCATGTATTTCCGTACGTATCTATGTGCATATTTATTACATATCACTCCGGGCCGATGCTGGCCAGGGGCACCTAACGGGAACGATCGCCGAAGCAAACGTCTCCCCCTAGCGGGAGGACAGGGGCGTGAGGGGTAAAACCCTAAGTCCCCTAATACTGGACGTCAAGGGCGACGATCGCACACCACTCTCCCAGCGCATACGCACAGATACACACAGGTCCATATACACAGATATACACACCGTGCCGGTTTGTGCCGCCCCTACTGCCGTACTCAGTCCCACCATCCTCCCCGCCGAATCCACCAGGGGGCCGCCAGAGTTGGCGGCATTCACCACCGCCTCGGTCTGATCGGCGAGGTCGAGGGGGTGGGTGGGTTATAGGTGTTGGTGCAAACTCAACGCCAGGAAGAGGGTCAGAAAAGGGGGAAGGGGACCAGCGGAGGTGGGGGGAAGTTGAACGGGGGTGGGGGGTGTTGCCGGGGGGAGGGGGAAAGGGGAAGGGTTTAAAACCCATCCGTACCGAATGGAGTTTCCCACGGGAGCCCCGGGAGCTGAGGGGGGAGGGCACCCTCACACACTGGGAATACGAGCAAGGGCGTGTGGGGAAAGGGACTGCACCTGACCAGTACGATCTTACCTGTACGACACCGTAAATGCGGGCTCCAACCGGCGAGGGAATGCTCCTCCCCAGCCCGCTTATAAGGCCCACGGAGAGGGAGCGTGTGGGGGCGGCTGCAGCGGGATTAGCGGCCACACACCCCAGGGCGTACACCAGCTGGCCTACCTGTATGCATGTATGTATGTGTTTTTTGGGGGACGGGTAGTGGGAATAGTGGGCGTGCATGTAGGGTTGGTGTGACGTGATGTGCAAGGGGTTAGGGCTACAAGTCCGGATTGCGTGTGTGTGTATGTGTATGTGTATGTATGAAGGGATCTTGGTATATCTTGTATGTATGAAGGGATCCACACGTGTGTATGTGTACGTGTGAAGGGATCTTGGCGGGCGGCGTTTTCCACGTTTACAGGTGTTGATTAGTCATTCAGGGAATCTGTGCGACGATATGGATACGGGGCTTCCAGCTATGTCCGAGGTGGTGGTGGTGGTGGTGGCGGTGGTGGTAGTGGTGATCTGTTGTGTCATAGGTAGCTTCCGGCTGCAGCGTATTAGGGTATTCGTTTGTCAGGGAAGCTGACACACGAACTCGTAAGTCCGTACGACAACAAAGTGTACGGTAATTCTCTGTCTCCCCTCCCCGTCCTCCATCCACCTTTCCCTTTCCCTGGTGTTTTCAACCAATCAGGCATAATGTCCTTCCAGTGAATTTATCAACAGGCTGGAGCTCCCTTAAGCTACTACTACAAGCAGTTGCATTTGTTGGTTTCTAAATCCAGCAATAGTTGATGCTATTGACGCCGTTGGCAGTTGGCCGTTATTTCGTCTTGCATGCGATTTCCCCCTTCCCCTCCCACACCCAGGCCCAGTTGCGGTCCCGTTTTCCCTTTTTTCTGTCCTTTTTCTTTTCGCTTCCCAATCCCCCCCCCAGTTTTCACCCTTCCCTGACGCCCTCATTCTCCCCCCCCCCTCAACCCCACCCGCAGATCCCCTGGAGCAGCAACTCGAATGGGAGCCACAACCACGGGCACACCGTTAGCATTACTGACGCCATTGCTGACGCCATCACTGCTAGCAGGATCTCTTGCGACAGACAGCTGGGAGCCCAGGACCTCCTCGGACTGCGGCTGAGGCTGTTGCTGCGGCAGTAGGAGCTTGAGCACTGCCAAGTCATGAAGGCTGTCGCTCCCGGCAACTCGCGCCGGCAGGATGCTGTATGCCCCTGTGGCCATGTCCTGCAGGGTCACCTCCAGAACCTGCAAGCATGGGCATACAAGCATGCAGAGACAGATGCGGAGTTTTAATTTCTTATATAGGGAAAAACGAAAGTGTGAAGGTGTTGTAAAATATCGACTTACCGTGTTAGTTCCTTGGAGGGGTGGAATGATGTGAAAATTTGTGAGCACATGAGGCCCTGCAGCGTCCCAAACGACTCCTGATCCGATGACATCACGCACTTGCACGCCTCCGACGGAGCGCAGGACTGCGATGGAGACTACCGAAGGGCTCACATCCTGGAACACCTGAACTGCGATGTCCTCATCTACCAGGGCAGCAGCCACCGAGGGCCGGGCGAAAAATGGCACGCCGGCTAAGGTGGAAGCAGCGCATAATGCTGCGCAACGTGCGAGCAAAATGCGTCTGCTGGGTTCGTTGCATGCCAACAACAGGTTGTAATTTGAAGCAGCTTCGGTTGGAGACGGTTGGTCCAAACAAGGATTAGCTTTCGCTTTTACTGTAAAATTCTGAACAAGAGTTCGCAAATATTTCTGGGGCTGGAAGATTGAATATGCGCGGGCTAACGGCGTACACGGGCATTTTGGACAGGTCACACACGCACGTGCCGGGGAGCTTTGAAGTTGGCAAGACATTACACAGGGCGAACGCACTATTTCGAGCAGCGTATGTGCAATCTTCCCGCAGCTATAGTGCGTTCCATACCCGGTTCTGGAGCCGGCATAACATTGCTTCTAAACATCGCTTAGAGGTGATTTTTGACACTCCGTGCAATTGTTTGTTTTCTTATGCACCCATCACAAGGAACAGGGCACAGAAGCTAGAAGGAACCATGGGCAGCTTACGGAGCTATACATTGCCCTGATGAACAACCATATTAGCATAATAGAGAACGGCTGAACGGGAAATACCCATTTAACAAGTTTGAAGCGGGTTTGCTTCCTGAGCTAGGGCGTCGACTCGTCTCACTATTTCGGCCAAAGTCAGACGCTAAGACATTGGCAGCTACCCTGAACAAGCCAAGCTGTAGCACGTACCCCGCGTATCTCGCCAATTGTCACGGCTGTCAGGATCCGGACTCAAAGTCTTTCCTTTTTTGTTGCAATACCGGCTAAGCGTACCACCGTGACAAGGCTTCAGGTCCAACTTCGCAACCCAGCATAGCGTCTAAATTTGGACAAGTGAGGCGGTCAAGCCCTAGCCAGCGGCCTCCGGCGGGGGGTACGCTCGGCTACGACGATGACTCCAGTCCACATGTCGTTGCGGTCGCTTTTCCAGGAGCAGAAACCTCACCGCTCCGCTCCCAGAAACGCAGTCCGTCAAACCGTTATGCTGCGGCTATCCGATCTGTCGCGCACGGTGGACTCGGCCGCTACACCGTCAACATCTCTCTTCTCCTAATCGGATACCTTCTTGGCACAGCCGTGCGGCCCCCGCTTCTCTTCCACTCCATTCGCGTGACGCTCCCCACCGCCTCTATGCCCACTAATACAAACCCATCAATCTCCACCTCCACTTACCCGACTTCCACCACCACGGAGGCCAGCAATCTGAGCGGCGACACAGACTTAGCGCACAGAACAAATCTGGGTCAACAACAACAACAACAACAACGACACGAACAACAGCAGCAGCAAGAGCAGCAAGAGCAGGGGCTTCTAAATGCGTCAGGTGTTTCACCACTTACCCAGGGCCGCCGTGCAGCCATGGGGGGGGAAACCCCACGCAAACCGAACACCACGGCCCTCCGTACGGCAGCTCCGCCACAACGGCTTCAACCGCCCGACCGCACGCTGCGTTTCCAAGTATGCAATGGGTTCGCCAACCAACGACTGAGCATCATGTACGGCGCATTACTGGCGGTACGACTTGGCCGTACGGCAGTGCTTCCCGTACTGATCGATAACGGGCTTCAGCGTACGGACAGCGCGGTGCTGGCCAGCACCGAAAACCAAGTGGGTTTCATTCGGCCCTGGCGTATGTGCGCGTATGTATGTATGTACGTGTGTGTGCTTTTGCATTTTTTGCGTGTTTTGGGGCCGGGAGGTAACTTGCCGCATGTGGGTCATGGTTTTTTTAAAGGTAGAGCCGGGTATGATAAACCCTAAGCCACCTTGTTTCGAAACCAATGCAGCCAGGTGTGTGGCGGGAGAGCGGAAGTGGCTCTGGTCCGGCGGGAACGCAGAGCGCACAGGGGGGCCCGAGGGGCGGGGGCCGCCCCCGGGTCTAAGGGGAGGTTGGAGAAGAAGGGAAACGATGAACGGGAACGGAACGGGAAGTTGAGGGCTGCTGCTGCTGCGGGGGCTGCATTGGTGGGGACTCTGAAAGGGCAAGGCTCAGGGAGGTTTGGAAAGGGGCGCCATGCGGGCGCCTAATCAATAGGTTATTCAAACAGTTAATGGACATGGAACGGTCACCTCTAAAACGTCCCCTCTGGAAATGGGAGCTGACCCAAATAGAAATAAGGCCCCTGGGAGCAGTACGGCACACCGACTAAGAGTGCAACCTTTTCCTGGATGGGGGGGAGACCGGCGATGGGACACGCACGCGCATACATACATACATACATACATACATACATACATACATACATACATACATACACGTCCATTACTTTCTACCCCAGGTTGCTTTTTCGGATATGTACGACCAGTCGTACTTCATTGAGGCCATGGCGGCCGCCGGCCTGCGCGTGCTGCCGTCAGAGGACGCGCCGCCGCCGTTGTCGTACGTCCACGCGCCGCTGGCGGAGTACGGCTGGAACGTGGCCGCACCGCTGGCGGATCATTTTCGCGAGGTGTCGCACCTGGCGGTTGACTGTCCGTTATTCAAGCTGTCATCTGCGGATCTGGTTTCGGAGGATTGGGAGCTCATGTGGTCGGTGCTTGACGCACTGAGACCGAATGCACTGGTGCGTGCGTGTGTATGTGCGTGTGTATGTGCGTGTGTATGTGTATGTATGTGTGTGTATGCGTGTGTATGTGCGTGTGTATGTGTGTGTATTATAAAAATCTGAGCCGCGAGGACGAAGCTGCGAGGTGTGTGCGTGTTTCGGAGCAAGCATGTTTCGATACGGGTTTTCTAGGAGGTGAGTGACCCTCGGGTCGGGAAGGGTTTCTCGCCGCCATGAGGTCCCGTGGCCTCCCCCAACAGCCCCTAAGTCCCGGTCGAATTTGAATTCAATTTACGGCTGCGTATCCTGTTTAGGCAACAAGCATCCAGAGAGGGACAGATTTGCGTTTGTTGTAAACAAAAAAACTGAGCCGGCATTGGGTAGGAGTTTGTGAGTTTGTGAGTTTGGTAGGCCATTTGGTAGAGGTGTCAAAGCCGAACCTGTAAATTACGATTTTGGTCTCCGGGTCAGCTGCGGGCGGTGTGTGTTGTGCGGCGTCTCCCTTGTCCCCCTTGCCATTGTGCTCCGTACTGTGACCACCGGTGTCACCGGGAAGTTCCGTCTGTGAATAATCTGGATCTGAATCTGAATCTGGATCTGAACGGTTTGGATCTTCCTTGTCGGGTCTGATTCCCTGACCCCCGCACTGACCCCCCACACTGGCCGCCCGTAGCTCCCCCCCCCAATGTTGATTGTGTCGCGGTGTGTGCCCCCAACACACGCTCACATAACCATAAGCCCTCCCCCTGCCTTTTCCCCCCCTCTTGCCCCCTTCTCCCCTTCTCCCCCTCCTTCCCTCCCTCTCTCCATCTCTCCCGCCCACTCCCAACCCCCACCACCTCAATCAACCCCAGGCTGTCGCCCTCCTCGACCTCATGGAGGACAAGATCGCCAACTGGCCGAAGATGGGAGGCAAGGGGGAGGAGGCTACAGCAGCAGCAGCAGCAGTAGCAGCAGCGGATGCGGCTGGCGGCGGAAGCGACGCTCGCGGCAGCAGGGGTGGTGGCGGTGGCGCTGGTGCTGCTGCTGCTGGTGCTGGTGCTGCTGCCGGTGCTGCTGCTGGTGCCGGTGCTTCCTTCAATTTTTTGCACCTTCGAGTGGAGAACGACTGGGTGGCGCATTGCCAGTGAGTGGGTTGCTCAATTAGGCGGTGGAAAGGAAAAGGGTGGTTAGCGGTTGGTAGTTGGTGGTGAGGAGGGAAGCTGTGGGAGGGCGGGAGGGAAGGAGGCAAGTGAGCGCGAGGGCCGTCCCACATCCGTGGTGTGTATGTTTCCCTCTGGCATAATTCGCAAAACACACATGCACACACACACACCCGTAAACATGCATACACAGCCATATCGACATACATACATACATACATACATACATACATACATACATACATACATACATACATACATACATACATATCAACATACATATCAACATACATACATATCAACATACATACACACAAACACAAACACACATACATACACACGGCACCTTATCGCGGCCGTTTCCTTCTCAATGCCTTTGATTCCGGAGGGACAATCTTTCCTCGGTCAGGTTTTTTTTGCCGTTAGGTCTCATAGCATCCCCACCCCAAGCACCAGTCCGCCCCCCTCAGGAAATATTCGTACATACACACGCACCTGCACACCGCAGGCGCTGGCAGTCAATCAACGACGGCATTGTACGGGACAACTGCTACTCGTACACTGACGACATAGGGGCGCGGATGGCGCTGTTCAACCTGCAGAACAGTACGACCTTGTACGTCGGGTCGTACTGGGACGACGTGGACAAGGATCGGCGAGAAAAGGTGCGCGCGGCCGGCGATAGAATATACGGCATTACGGTGTGTACGGTGTACGAAATCAAGGCGGTGCTGTCGCTATTAGCAAAAAGTTCAATCAAACTTCTCCACCTGTAGGAAAAACCAACTGCCTAACACCGGCTGAAACATCTGCTACCCATTTGCCCAAGATCGAATCCCAGTCCAGTCGAAGGTTTTGTTTTTTCCATTTCCCATCGCCACCACCGCCACAGGCCTTTGCCCAGCTATCAGCCGCGGGCTACCGGATGGTTACCTCTGCTGACGTGTTCCCCACAACTAACATAACCACCGTCAACCACCTCGGTCAACAGCAGCAGCAGGGGGTGCCGCCGGTTCGCATGGGTCGCGAGTTCAAGGCCATGGTGGAGTATTTCCTGGGGATGCGGTCCAACAGGTGGGGTGAGGTGGGGTGAGGGGGGTGAGGTTGGATGCAGTTAGGGGTTGGGGGATGGGAGGGAGAGGGAATTGAAGGATGAAGGTGTGGGTGGGTGGTAGAATGGGGTTAGGTTGGGGCTGAGGGAATGCACTGTGTATGTATTGGTTGGGTGGGCACATACGTGCGGACAGATAGTCACAGACAGACAGACACACAGACCGATAGTCACAGACAGACATGCAGACAGACAGACACAGAATCCCGGTGGTACTCGCATGTTCGTATCCTCCTGCTTGCTAAATCTCGTACTCACCCCCCTTGACACCCCCCGGCCCCTCCCCCCTTGCAAATACACATACACACCCACATACACACACGCACCCGTTCTTAGGTTTATCGGCAATAGCGTGTCCACATTCGCGGCTCTAGCGCTGCTGGAGCGTCGTCGTCGGGGCGCCTGGGCCGCATACTATAACGGCGGGAACATCCCCCTCGCCACGCTGCTGCCCGGTTTGTACGAACTGCCCTGGGTATTCACGTACAACAGCTGGAGCCCGGATTACGAGTACATGCTGCGGGGGGCAGTACGGTGAGGAGGGGGAGGGGGAAAAATGAGGGGGGGGGGAAAAGGGGAGGTTAGCTTCTGGTGTGGCTGATGTGTCTTGGATGCAAGCAGGGGTAACGCGACACTGGCGAATGGAGCAGAGGGGCGGGGAGGGGAGGAGGGGAAAGGAAGAGGAGCTGCGGTTTTGTCTGTGGCGTGCTGTGTTTTTTGGGCCACACAGACAGTGACGCGTAGGATCCACCGCTTTCCTCGACACACGTATATGTCACCCTGTTAACGCACATACATGCAGACAAACAATCAACAATGTGTACTCTTAATTTTTACTTCACTTCGCCGGTCTGCGGTCCCCGGTAGTGAAGTTTCTCAGCAGTGTTTCAGTGTTTCATATCCTGTCCAGTTCCTAACCCGCAGCTTAGGTTAATAAAACACACACACATACACACCCCTCTCCCCCCTCCCCCCCCTCCTCCCGTGCTCTACCCACCCGGCCCCGCAGCTCAGCTCTTTCCACGGGCTCACTGAAGCCGTACTGCATTTTCCTGGGCAACACCAGCAGCCCCATAGCCAACTGGTTGGTGGGGAGGGGGGTCACACTCGTACGACATACACCCACGTGGCGGGAACAGCTGCTGGCCAAGGCGAGATCCAAAGCAAAGGTAAGTGTATGTATGTATGTATGTATGTATGTATGTATGTATGTATGTATGTATGTATGTGTTCTGGGGGCCCTGGGGGCGGAGTTTGGGGGTGAGGGTAACGTGTGTGTGTATGTGTGTCCTGCCTGTCGTCGTACCGCAGCTGCTTAGTATTTTTGCGTATTTTCGTCCTTCCTTGCGTCGCCTCGCCTTTCCCCCCCACCCGGTTCGCCTGGTGTCATTTCCGTACATTCGTTTTCCGTACATCCCTTTCACTGTCTACATCCCCCTCCTCCCGCATCCCTCACCCTCGCAGGACAATGTACACCACTCACACCTCTTCAAAACACCGGACATGCTGGTCTCCACTTTCCAACGAGTGGATCTGCCTGTCGTACCCGTACTGGATCAGTACACGTACGTGCTGTACACTGATGCTGACGTGTACTTCAGGAAGCCCATACGTCTGGACGATTTTGGTGAGCGGGCGGATATGACGAGGGGGAAAGAAAGAGAGAGTGGGGCCGGGTTTCGGTTTCGTAGACAATAAAAGGTTAAGCAAGGGCTTTGGGTTTTTGCGTGTCGCGACATGGGTTATAACCGCCGCGTTTGGCTTCGTCACGGCTCCCCAACTCCCCCCGCCTATAAACCTGCTTCCCCCCCCACACACACACACCTTCCTCACCTTCCAAATCCCCACCCCGGCCCCCACCCAGTTCTTTTACTTGCCATGGTCATTCGTACAAGTAGTTGTCCTGGTTGAGGATGACGTTGACATGTGTTTCTCGCACACGATTTTGCATCTTCTGGACGGCCTGGGCCGATGTTATCCTCCCTCTTTCCCCCTCTTCCCCCACCTCACATGCTCCTGCGGCAGTTTTACGAACAAGACCTTCGTGCTCGTATGTTGAGTCAGGCCTTCAACACCAAGCCGTACAATGCGTACGACCCAGCTTCCTTTATCGTACATTTCCACGGCCCCAAACCCCACCAGCTGCTGGCCTTCCTGACCACCTCCAAATGCGACTTCTTCAACGTCTGCGAGAACTCTTTTCTATAGTGAGTCTGTGAGAACATCTTACCTATGTTCGTACAGGTACGAACATGTGTACGCGCATGTCGTACGGGGTGTTCGCGTGGGGGGCCCAAGAACAAAAGGGTGGTTGGGGGGGAGAGCCCTCATCGCGTCTCCCCAGGGATGAGAGCGATGAG